AGTCAATCCAGTCAACATGAGTCAGCACAAAGTCAACATGAGACAACACAGAGTCAGCATGAGTCAACACAGAGTCAACATGAGTTAACAGTCAACATGAGTCAACACAGAGTCGACACGAGTTAAAAGAGTCAACACAAAGTATCGAAGAGTCAACATGAGTTAACAGTCAACATGAGTCAACACAGAGTCGACACGAGTTAACACAGTCAACACAAGTTAACAAAGAGTCAACACACATTAACAGTCAACATGAGTCAACATGAGTCAACACAGAGTCGACACGAGTTAACAGATTCAACTCAAGATAACGAAGAGTCAACACACATTAACAGTCAAGATGAGTCAAGATGAGTCAACACAGAGTCACCACAAGTTAACCAAGTGTCAACACGAGTTAACAGTCAACATGAGTTAACACAGTCAACACGAGTTAACAGTCAACATGAGTTAACACAGTCAACACGAGTTAACAGTCAACACAAGTTAACACAGAGTCAACATGAGTCAACACAAGTTAACACAGAGCCAACAGAAGTTAATAAACTGTCAACACAAAGTCAACACGAGTTTACAGTGTCAATACGAGTTAACACAATTGAACAGAGACAGCACAGAGTCATAATCGAGTCAACATTTGTTGATAGAATCAACACGAGTCAACACAGGGTCAACATCGAGTCAACATTTGTTAATAGAGTCAACACGAGTCAACACAGGGTCAACACGAGTCAGTGCTGCGTCTGAAGCTCAGAGTGGATGTGGTTAATCCACAGGTTCATAGAGAGGAAAAGTCTCGGCAGGGATGTACCAAAGTGTTTAAAAAGGTTTCAGCAAACCGTTATTGCTCTACGCGGTTTGTTTTCATTATTTGAGTTTCTTGTGCAAATATATAAAGAGCAGCCTCGCTCAGCATTCATTTCTCCCACAAACTAAAGTGTCAAAAATAGACAATGAAGAAATAAATAAGAAATAAATAAAGCAATGCTTCCAGTCTGAAGAGTTTCCTTAAACTCTAAACTCCTGTTGATGTATAACTAAAAACACATGCAAGTATATTTAATAATTCACCTGTAACATAAAACTTCGATCTGTGAAATAAGTTAACCCATACATTTCAGTGCTTTTGTACAAATTAAAGATCAAATTTGACTTCAGTTAAAAAAACATTTCATATCATTAAGCAGAAAAACATTTGGTGTCCAAGAAAAACCTGCAGCTCTTTTTTTACTTCAAACCTAAATGAATCTGCCTGTCGACATGTCTGAGTTTTTATCTTTAAAATATAAACCTTAATTCTGATCAGGTTCTGATTTGTACACAAAACCTGTTCCTTTGTCTGTTTAAATTTATGTGAAATAATCTGTTTGTTTAAAGTGGATTTTTGATTTTTACAAACAGAAAACGTCCAAAAAGCCTTAAAATCCAGTAAATTCAGAGAAAGAAATGTGAATTTTTATTTTCCTGAGAGTTTGATCAGTTGTTTAAATGATTTATTGTGTTTGGTTTTTAAAATATGAAACTTTATTTAATGTTTGTAATTTAAAACTGGAACCTGAAACCCAAACAGTTTATTTTGGACCAACCTGGACCAGAGAAACACCGAAAAATCCTTTTTATTGTAAATGAGTTGGTCTTTTTGGTTGTTTTCTGACCAGAACCAGAACCAGATCTTGGAATCAAACCAACAAACTCCGGTTGTACTGACTGTTAGCTGCTTCTTTAGCTTTAGAAATGATAAGTTAATAATAAGTTAATAAAAGTGAGAAGTCTTTGACTCAAACAAGAAAAGTTTACAAATAAGTTAAAAAATAAAGAAC